ACTACGTTTGGTTGGGTAGTAATGGGAACCGATGTACCTTAGTGGTCACCTTCCTAGGCAGGAGGGAAATGAGGTTGGAAGAAACCCAGGAGTGATACCGGGCCGGCTCCTCAGCGTGGATGTATCCTACCAAGGCGTGGAGTTTCGACTGGTAAGCATGTACGCCCCGGTATGGTGCATGGACAGGACTGAGGTGTGGGAGAGCTTGGCGGCTCTGCTGACCACCAGGAGACGTCATCGTGGGGGGTGATTTTAACTGCCCGATGTACTTGGCGGACCTGGTATCGGAGAAGGGGAGGAGGAAATTAGACTCTTCCTCCAGGAAATTGAAAGAGTTGATGGAGGACCTTGGGATGGTAGACACGTTCAGGAAGGTGTAAGGTGCACGGCCCGGGTATACGTGGTCAGATAAGAGCGGGGGAACGCAGTCACAGATTGACTTTATTTTCGTCTCTGCCAGGGTGGAAGTGGGAAGTGCGGGGGTGGAGCCATTTCCCCTCTCTGACCACAAAATGGTCGTGGCGAGGCTCGCGATCCCAGGTGGGGCGAGGAGGGGGAAGGGAGTTTGGAAAATGAATGTGGGCCTGTTGGAGGACCAGAAGGTGGTGGGGGACTTTGTACAAAAGTACAAAAGCTGGAGGACATTGCAGGACTGTTTCCCCACGAGGGTGGAATGGTGGGGCCAGGTATAGGATAGGATAAAAACATTATTTCAGCATCATAGTAGGAGGAAGGGAATGGGTAGGGATTTGAGGCAGTGGAATAATAGGTTAGAGAAGATGTACAGGCTGTTAGAGCTAGGGTTCCCGATGGGGGAAAGGATAGGAGAGTTGAAAGGGAGAGTAGCTTCAGCATTGGAAAGAAGGGTTAGGCAGTTAGTATACAGAGCGAGGGTCAGGGCCAAAGAGGAAGGGGAAAGATGCACAAGGTTTTTCCTTAAAGCAGGTAGGGAGGGGGATAATGCAATGAGGGAGTTGGTAAGCCCTACCAGGGGTAGACAGACGACGACGGTAGGGATGATAAGTGTAGCGGAGGATTTCTATAGGGAGTTGTATGAGAGGAAAGGGATAGATGGGGGGAGGCGGGAGGAGCTGCTGAGGGCATTGGGGAAGAGGGTTGGTAATCCGGAGGCACTAGAGGGAATAATTCTGCAGGGAGAAGTGGAAGAGGCGGTAAAGGGGTTGAATAAGAACAGAACCCCAGGCCCGGACGGGATCCCAGCGGATTTCTATATCAAATTCTGGGAGCTCCTGAAGGAGGACATACTGCAAATTTGTAGGGAACCTCTGGAGGGGCGGGTGCCGGACGATATGCGGGAGGGCCTGGTCACATTGATTTATAAAGGGAAGGGGGACCGTAAGGACCTAGGAAGTTGGAGGCCGATAACCCTCCTGAACGTGGACTACAAAGTCTTGGCAAGGATAGTCGCGGGGCGACTGGGGAAGGTGGTGGGTGAGGTGGTGGGGCCGGACCAGACGTGCGCGGTCCCGGGGAGGAGGATCGCGGATTCCTTGGTGGTTTTGAGGGAGGCGATAGAAGGCGAGAGAGAGAGGGGGTGCCCGTTGGGGATCCTGAGCCTGGACCTGGACAAGGCTTTCGACCATCTCTCACATGAATATATGCTGGCGGTGATGGCGAGGATGGGAGTGTGTGGGCCCCTGGTGGAGTGGGTGGCTCGACTCTATGGGGGGCTCAGAGCTAGACTCCTGATAAATGGGGAACGTTCCGGGATCATTCAAGTAGGGTCCGGGGTACGGCAGGGATGCCTGATGTCCCCAGTCCTATTTGTTATGTGTATGGAGCCTCTGGCGCAGATAATAAGAGATGACCAGATGATTAGGGGGGTGATAATACCGGGGAGCAAGGAGCAAGGGAAGGTAACCCTGTATATGGACGATGTGGCCGTGCTATGCAGGGGCGTTGCATCGGTATAGAGGGCAATGGAGGGGACAGGGAGGTTCTGCTTGGCCTCCGGCTTGAAGGTTAGCGTGAGGAAAAGTGAGTTGATGGTTTTTGGAGACTCGAGGCTGTTTGAGGGTCGGCCGCCGGAACTGAGTCTGCAAACAGAGGAGATAAAGGTGCTAGGGGTGTCCTTTTGTAGGGATAGGATGGAGGAAAATAACTGGGAGAAGGGGGTAAGGAAGACAAAGGGCTGTCTGGGTAAGTGGGCAGGGAGGCGGCTCACGATGGCCGGCAGGATCATGGTGGTGAAGACGGAAATATTGCCAACTCTAAACCACTTGGCGCAGGTTTTCCCACCTGGTGAGAGGGAGGCTAAGGCCTTGACCTCGGCGATCTTCAGGTTTATCTGGGGGGGAGGGATGGAGAGGGTGAGGAGGGCCGTGATGTGTTTGCGGGTTGGGAATGGGGGGAGGGGTGCCCCAAATGTGGGGTACACCCTGAAATCGACTTTTGTTTGCAACGCGCTGAGGCTGTTCTTCTCCGCAGAGCCGCGGGGCAAGGCAGCGTGTTATATGCGGTATCGACTGACGTGGCGGCTGCGGGGGCTCGGGATGACCGAGACAGAGAGGAGTGTTCCTTTGGACTGGCCGGGGGGCTGGGTCAGCGACGTGGAGGGGAGCTACATCGGGCAGCACGGCCTGAACCAGTGGGGGGGCCGGTGGGCCCCCAGGGAGGTACGGGCTGCAGCGGAGAAAGAGGCCTGTGATGAGGTGGCCGGTGCGAGGAGGGAGATGCACGGGAAAATTTGGAGAAACGTGTCGTCGGCGGCGCTCACGAAGGAGCAGAGGGACCTGTCATGGCTGGCGGTCCGGGACAAGTTTGAGACGCGGGGTTTTTTGTACAGCCGCCAAATGGCACACACCCACAAGTGCCCGAGGGGACGAAAGTGCAGCGCACGTGATGGTGGCGTGCCCTTTTGCCCAGGAGATATGGAGGCGGAGCAAGCCGTTGCTGGCCCGATTCGCGCTGTCGAGGGTGACGGCACGGGACATTATGTGGGGGGAATTGCGGGGAGTGGGAGGGGAGGACAGGGACCGGGCGTGGGCCATAATAGGCGCAACAAAGGAAGCCTTATGGAAGGCGCGCAAGAAGGAACTGGAGGGGTCCCAGATGTCCCCTTTGGAAACGTGCTACATGGCAAGGAGGTTGTTGGAGAGGGTGGTGGAGGTGGATCGGGTGAGGCTGGGACACAAACCCGCACGGGAAAAGTGGAAGTGGCCACTGCCCAGGGTGGGTTAGGGCGGCCTGGGATGGTGGGGGGGGGGCCTTTACTGGCGCCCGGGGGCAAGGTCGTGCGTGGCTAGAGGGGAGGTAGCCCCTCCATGCACAGATGTGCCCCAGTGCTGTGTCGGGGGTGATTCCGGTCTCGCGGATGGGTCGGTGGCCGGGTGGGGCCTTCGCGGCGCGCGGGAGGGGGCGGCCCCTCGATCTTTGTTTTGTTTTGTTTTCTTCGCTGTGGCACTGAATAAAGTTTTAAAAATCGTAATTACCAGCGAAACGTCGTACTCAAATTTTAAGTGATGTTGATTCACTCTTCAACACACCGGTGGGCTAAAGTAGTGAACTATTTGTCCTTTGTAAACGTGAGACATTTTTTACTTTTTGGCCGTGTCGGGTGGTGGAGGGTTACGACACATTTATAAATAACGCGATCTAATTCAAAAACCTTTATTATGAATTTTAAAGGATTGTTAGACTATACTTGTGATCTATATCAAGAAAGCTGACAGAACTACCATGCAGCATGTTGACGTGTGGTATTATCATATATCATGTGATCAAAGGGCGAGCTAACTCGTTTGAACGGAGCAGGCGCAATTTGCTGGTTCAAGTGATTATGAAGATGCGCACCTCTGGCGGCCTTGTGCCACGTTCCACCGAATTTGTCACATCACTCAATAGCCCCGAATGTGACAAAGCACATGAGTGGACATGTGCTGGTATATAACACATTACCGTAAAGATATTGTGCCGATTATATCCCCTAACTCGATATTTAAGCTCTAAATTAACTCCATGGACCCATGACACGCAAACATTTGCAGACATCTCAGGGAGTTTATGGTAAAAAACTAAAACATATATATAGATGCTGGAGACCAAGGTGCAGAGCGCATCTTGCCTCCCAAGTTTCGATACCCAAAATCATTATCGAGCCACCTTTTTGTTCTTGGAGGCACCTGCGTGGCCTAACGTTGCCACGGGGTGGCCTTACGTGGCCACGGGGTGGCCCGACGTGGCCACGGGGTGGCTTGATGTGGCCATGGGGTGCTGTGTCCCCATGGTGCCATCTGGGGGCCACCTCGGCTGTGGTAGTCGGCACATTCCACTGCGCTTGTCCTAATGCACCGCGCTCGCCACTGCTGCCCAGACCCATGACCACTGGGGGCTGGGTGGGTCATGGTGGAGGGGGCTGCACGAGCCCCCACTGTGATTTCCCAGTCTCAGCTATCGTGGTGTGCCGAGTTGTTAACAGTTGGAGCACAAGTTAATTATATTTTAAAATTATAAAAATATTAATTTTAGTTATAAGCATCGAATGACTATTTTTCAGAGGGGTCCTGCATTGGGTTTTATTATAAAGTAATATTTTTTCAGTCAATGAATGATAAGATGTGTTTATTGATAACTTTCTTGTTATTAATTATTTTGGTGCCATTTCTGAATTTGTTTATCCATTTTTTATTTGCTTGGTAGGAGTGGTAGGGCTTCTAATGCTCGGTGTGTACGTGTGTGTGTGTTGGGCTTCTTTCGCACTGTGTATAGCCAAAAACGTATATGGCATTTGGTCCTTATAAATAATTAATGTACAGCATTGTGGGATGCTGTTGGCATGAATGACACTGCTATATAAATTCAAAGTATTGTTATTAAGTGGGAGGAAACCGCAGCACCCAGAGAAACTCACGCATGCGAGGGGGCAATACTCTATCTCCCCCCCCCCCCCACCCCATACAGATGGAATGAACAGATGGCGAATCGTCCACTATGCAGTGCTGACTTCTCCTGCGAGCCAGGGTACAGCTCCTCCTCGAAGCCCAACGGGTAAAGGGAGTTTCACACCCCATCTGTGCGGCGATCCACCAACCCCTTGCTGCTGCCTCCACAGCGCTGGATCACAGCTGCCAAGTGCAGCAGTGCAGCCACCACCGCCTGGGTGTGATGATGATGGCGATGCGCTGATGATGGAGGCACTGGCACTGCCGCACATTCCCGTTCCTTAGTCGTCCGCCTGGACTTGTAGCCCAAGAATGGAAAACCCTGATTACAGGAGCCAGCAGCCGCCCGTTGCATTACGCCTCTACATTAGAGGTTGCATTCTGGGGAATTAGCTTCACAATACCAAGATAATTTTATCATCAGTGAACTGTCATTTTTTTATATACTCGGCTGGAATACATTATCGTACTGCTAGAAAACTGGAGTGAAATGTTATAAAGTCAAAGTCTGCCGTTAAACATTTAGTATGATTCCACAAATTGCGTGATATTTCGCACAACTCTGAGGTTTTTTCTTTGCTCGCAGATTTATTTCTCACCTCCCCGGATGTGGCCAGCGTGACCATTCACCCTCGTCGCACAACGCAAGGGTGGCTGCTGCAACTGGAACAGCGAGAGGGAGAGAGGAAGGGGCTGAGCAGTGCACCACACTGACGCACACTCCAGGCGAGATGTCATAATTTTCTCTATGATGCCCTTAAGGTCCCGCCGAGTGCAGTCGTGGCATCCAGCGGGCGATCACAAGAGGAGCGGCGCAGCAAGTTGCACGTGCAGGGCCACGAGCGCTCATTCAGACGCGGCCCGAGCCCACGCGCGCTCAAAGTGCCGTTAACAGCCGAGCGCATTTCATTGGCTATACACGGATCGCATCTGGAACTGTACATGACTACCGCACCGAGAGAGAAAGTGATGAGAAAGTTATAATAAAGAAAGTGACGAAAGATAAAGTGATGAGCGAGATAAAGAGAACTTCTTGAAGCTTTACAAGCATCCGCAGACGCTGCGGGTACGATATTCATAGAGCCAATGTCATTATCCACAACATGTACTTTTCACGAACATCTCCGGAGCGGATCCCTTCCAAGTAACGATGGAATACTGCACAGCATGATGGGAGTTTGGGCGCGGTAACGCCTGACTAATGTCTACCCCTGCTTCCATTGTTATCTTAACTTGCAAATACAGCACTGGAGTGACGTTGCGTGTAGCGGGGAAAGCTGCGGAATATGCTATTTGTGTTTGACTGGGCAAGACGAGAGACAACCAGATATATCCTTGCTTCATCTCCCATCTGTTAAAAAGAAGAAAAAACACAAAACATCGACCTGGCATTGCTCAAAGTGCTGAGTGCATTTTTTTTTTCAAAACACAGGGCAGCGAACCTGGCTAATGGGGTTGCTGCTGGCACTGCCGGAAGCTCTCGCGGCTGCAGCAGGTGACGACACCTCCCCGACCCTCTGGAGTGCAAAAACCACGCGGGTGCTCGCGCTGCCCGAGTGCAAGGGAGGGTGAGTGGGGGAGTGCTGGTTCCTCCTCCGACCGTGACGTTGGCTCCCCACCGTCGCCGGCGCCGAGGAACCGCGCGCTGGTGCTGCGCTTCGCCGTCACGACCGCTGGAGAGCCACGATTCCTCTGCCTTGGTCTCGCTGGAGCGGAGGGCGACACAGGGAGGGACATACCGGCGTGTGGCGAGCGGCGATCAAACCCCGCTGACGCTCGGAGGCCCCGGGTCCGACACGGACCTCGTGGTTAGCAGAGGGATGACCTCCCTCCCCGCAAGCTCACGTCCCCGGCACGCGGTCCCCACGGCTCCAGCGGCCCCCGCCCGCTCCTCAAACACGTCGTCGTCTTCGTCTTCGCTGCCTAGGCCACCCACCGAGCGGCCCACGTAGGCCGGCGGCCTGACCGTGCGTGCGTCCACCAACCCCGTCGCCGCGTTCAGCGTGGCCAACAGCGCGGGCCTCGCCTCGCGGCTCCCCAGAGTGGCAGCAGCGGGCGCAGCGGACCCCCGTTGGCCTCGCACGTGGTGGGGATGCGCAGGTCCGCGCCGTTGGCCGTCCGGTTTCCCTTCTGCGGCCGTGCCTCGGGCTCGCCGCGGAGCCGCTCGTTCGGCCACTGCGAACGGGCCCCGGGGCGTGGGTGGGCGCCGCCGTTGACCTCAGGGCAACCTCCGGGCGCTCCGCTCTGGCAGAAGGTCCCCGGGTCGGTCTCGGGGCTGCTCGGGGGGCTCATGACCCCCCAGATGACGTCGCCTGAGAGCGGCGATGCCAGGTCGACGACGATTTTGGGCACGGTTTGGCCGCCCCACTCGCCGGATTCTCCATCCTCGCTCACTACGGGGGGACACAGGGAGGAGGCCGGCTCGTGACGGCCGCGATGTCGACGAGGTCCCATCCCAGCAGTTATCAACTAAAACTATAAACTATTTTCACCAGGTATGTAGCTCTTTTACAGAAGCGGCCCAACAAAGTGGCTAATCATGTGGAAATTTATAGCAGCCAAATCCAAATGCATGATGTTGATTCTAAATGTGTGGGGAAAAAAAGGGGAGAAAAATCCACGCTACCACGGGGAGAGAGACACCGCAATCTCCAAATATACAGCAGGCATCGGAGTCGGGATCGAACGCACGTCCTCCTGTATACCAGGCGAGTTCGTTAGCATCTCGCCACCTGGCCACAAATGATAGCTCGTATAGTTATGAAAGAGTACATACAGTAAAGAAAAGTGCTCTACAATAGTTTGAGTAAATAAAGCAGTTTTTTTTCAATAACAATCATAACAACAGTTTGGTTACGTAACAATGACGATCCTGTGACTGCAGTGTGAACGTTGAAGCCGCCGCGTGTGTTGGGAGCGGCGCCACTGACCTGATAAGTGGCGTGGGAGGTGGCGCAGCGTCGGCGGCGTCCCCGGCATGGGCGGCACGCACAGCAGAGAGCGGTTCACATCCTGCTCCGCGGAATGGGGGGAGGGGGGGGTCAGCGGAGGCGCCACGGGGGCGGAAAATATGTTGTCATTATGTGCAGCCCGGTTACTGGGCGTAGTACCAGCACTAGCGGGGCTTGGGTGAGCGCTGGTTAGTGCAGAGGCACCATGTACAGTGTGCGGTGCGGGCTCCCAGTGAGGAAGCAAGAGGGAGTGTCAGCCAACCAGGGTTACGTTGGGGCATGATACGCCGGTTGACCTGCCGACACGTGACCGGATGATATTGGAGGGGGACCACCGGTGGATGGGGGCCGCTGGGTGGTCACGTGGTATAGAGGAGCTCTCGGGAGCCTTCGGGAAAGAGCTAGAAGGTGGACGGGGCAAGAGGCGGAGCCAGCCCCTGCCCGTTGGCGAGTGAAGATCCACGTCGGGTTGAAGAAGCCTCTAGCCACGCGGTCCGGGACCCAGCTCGTGGTCCGAACCGGGATAGCGAACCGTGTCGAGTTCTGCCGTAGCGTGGTTAGATGGGCGTTCAACACCCGAGTGTAGGTTACGTTATGTTGTGTTGAGTTGATGTAATAAATAGTGTTGCTCCCAAGACAACGTCTGCGAGGCAGAGCGGCGGTATGGGCTGAGGTGCGTGCAGCGCCACTCACCTGACGCTGCATGTCCAGGAACTGCTTCCTGCGGATGAGGATCTCCTTCTCCTGCTTCTCCTGGTCCAGCGGCAGCGTGTGGCGGCTGTACGACGCCAGCTGCTCGCGCACACGCACGGTGACCGTGAGTCGCCCCGTTAACTCTCCGCTCGGTGACACGCGCGGTAACCACGCCTCGCCCTGTGAGCCCGGCTCGCTTCAACAAAGGCTTGGTAAGCGAGAGCGCATTGCGTCGCATCTCAGCGTATACGCAGGGCAACCCCCAGTGGCAGCTGTCCCTGTGCGGGCACGAGGCGACTCGGCGCCCGGTCCCGCGAGCGGCCATCGGCCTGCCAGTAGGCAGGGGCGGGTTGACGATCGCTCCTCTGCGTGTAATCCCAACTGAGCAATTTGCAGTGTACATTTCTTTTTTTTGGAAAATCTTGACCGTGACGCCGACGCACAACGGCCGACTTCCCTTATCGAACGACGCCGTAGGACCTTTAACGTCCACTGCGAGTGAAGTAGAGGGCACGCGGTTGTATTTAGCGGTCGAACCGCGGACTCCCGCAACAAGCGGTGACCGAGGACGGATTGCGGCATGACCGCGATGGCGGGCCGCGTGGAGACCCGGACGCTGCACGCATGCGGGGGCGCAGCAGCCCCGGCTGTGAGTGCGGGCGTTGCTCACCCTCTGTCGGGTCCTGTACATGTGCTGGTTTAGAATCTTGCGCACGTCCACCACCTGCTTGAGCGCCACGGGAGCCGGGCGAGACGGCTCCGTGATGGCTTCATTCCTACAGAGCGGCACCACCGCCACCACCGCCACCACCGTCAACACCATCAACACCATCAACACCACCGTGGAGTGAGCGAGTGGCCGTGCATTGTGAGTGAGTGGGAGTGAGTGAGTGGACGCGAGTGTCTCACATGAATGTGGCGGTGGACGGCACACGGCTCAGGTTGCCGCTCTCCACCAGCTCCAGCGCCTGCTTCACCTCCAGCTTCTGGTAGATGGCCACGAAGTTAAACTCACGTAGCGTGCGCTCGCGGATCAGCCAGCGCCTCAGGTACCGGTTGTTGAACTTCTCAAACCTGACGATGGCGAAAGCGAGGGAGGGGGGGCGATGTTAACGCCGTTTCTCCCACACCCTGGGGAAGCGCCGCGTTCGGGCAGAAGAGGTGCGCGCTCCTCGACTCAAAAAGGCACGGGCAGGGCTGATCGACGCGCGATGTCAGATTCTGTAGAACGCCGCGCGGTAACTGAAAAATGTATCAACAAAGGAATTGGAATGTGGTTCCGTATGACAGCCGACGACGACGATGAATGAATTATTCGGGATCCTTTTTATAACCAAAAACTAACTTTGACGTTTAGTAAAACGTGACACATCGCTTCACTTTGCGTTGCTGGGAACGAATCCACAACGTTCGGTAAGTTGCCTGAACTGCTTGCTTCCTTGTGTCTCGGGGCAACGCAGGGACCGGTACGATCAACCATTGGTCACAAATGTTGCTCACTCTCTTCAGTCTGAAGAAAAACTTAAGATTAAAAAACCAAATCAGGTGCCATATTTTCCCATGTGGCAACTTGATTTGATTGGCTCTGTCGGGTTGTGGAGGGTTATAGTTACCATTTTTGTTTACATTATACCCACACGATTTAACCAAAAATCAATCAATTCCGAATCATCTCTCCCAAATGTTAATAAAATAAAGTATTTCGTGGGCTCTTTGTAAATCCACTGCTGAATGATGGCCTCCCCGCACCGTGCCAGTCAACGGGATGTTTGACCATACTTCACCACTGTCGGTCAGCGCGAGACGGTGAAGTACGGTGGGGACCCAGCAACCGGTTCGGATGTCACTCAGCACCAATGTGAGCCGTGGATGGGAATCGAACTCGGGTCGCCTGCTTTGGAGCACAGCATACGAGCCACTCTACTCGTATTCCAAAGTAATGTCATTAACATCCCCATCACCTTCAGCTGCCACGGACGCACGGACGCACGGACGCACGGGGCATGGACGCACGGGGCACCGGCGCACGGGGCACGGACGCGCGCCCTTACTTGTCCTTCCAGTAGTGCTGGCCACAGTGTCCACAGACGTCCTCGATACCGACCAGCAGGTGGTCCAGGAACTGCGAGGAATTGCAAACACGCACGCACACACATGAACAGCAACACACCGCTAATACAAAGATCCGTGTAGCCTTGAACGGACTGTTGGGGCAAGTGCTGTTAGTGAGTCGCCGGGTTTGTAGCGCAACGTGGTGCTAACCGCAACGCTACCGCACACACACCCAGAGACACACACACTCGGCATCACCACCGCTAATACAAAGATCACCCATGAATCCTTCAGACTGTTTGGGGAAATTACTGTTAGCATATGGCTATAACTAAAACTAAACTATTTTTTTATTTTACCGAAGGTGCGCACCCGCACACACCCAAGGCTGGAGTGCAACAGCCCTCCCCCCGCTCAGCTGTTGATGTTATTTGCGTGGAGTCGTCAGTGATCATCAATTCTCCGAGGTCCACAATCAAGTTTTATCGTGGGCAGCTAAACACCCAGGATTCAAACTCTCAGGATCTTAATGTCGCCAGGCTCAGGCAACTTTGGCCACCTCCCATGCAATTTATTTCCTAAGTCCAACTGCCACCAGGAGCTTGGAGTACATTTGGAAACCTGAACATGACGATGAAAAGTATTTTTTATGTTACCAGGTAAGGCCCACTGAGCTATGTAGTTCTTTTTCAGAAGCGACCTGGCCACAAATGATAGCTCAACGCTTAGGCTTATGTGGAAATGTAGAGCAGCCAAATACTCTAAACGTGTATTCATTCTAATTTTGGAGGGAAAAACCGGAGGACCCAGAGAAAAATATACAGACATCAGGGTCAGGATCAAACCCACAACCTCCTGTTTTCCAGGCGAGGTAGTTAACATCTCGCCACCGTGGCACCCTATATGAAGGCTGGCATGGCACACGAAGGGGGTGGGTGGCCAGCACCACGCCCGGTCACAATTCTCTCCCCAGTGCCGATGTTCACACACTGCACCAGGTATTCATTTCAGGCTGAATTGACCCTGGGGAGACCGGTTCACATATTCACTACTGTTATTTGCCGTGAGCGGGAATCGAATGAAGACCCACCTCTTGCTGTTAAGCAAGAGGATGATTGTATGTGTGAGTGCGTTGAGTTTTAAGTGGGGAGTGGCAGCTCGACGATTATCTGAACCGGTTCTGGGCCTCCACTAGGTCAACTCAGCCTCAAAATTAGTACTTGGTCCTGTGTGTAAACAGCGCCACTGGGGAGACAAAGGCGGCCGGGCGTGGTGTTGGCCATCCACCCCATCGTGTGCCATGCCAGCCTTCATAGGTGCTCGCTATCAGCACTTGCCCCAACAGCTTATACGGGGGATCTTTGTCTTTTTGAGGTCACCGCCACCTAGTGGTGAATGATGGATGTTGTTTTTAAGTTCCATGCGTGCGCGTGTATTGGGCGGTGGCGAGCAGGGCTCACCTGCACGGTTATGGCCTCGCTCACGGTTGGGGGACTCCTGCTCTTCCTCTTCACCTCCAGGAGGTCGACGAGCGGCCGGATCGTCATCCCCTGCGGTCGCGGCAGAGGCAAAGCAACGCGCGGCCGCGAGACTTGGACGGCTTCACACGGACACGCCGACCCACGGACTCGCCAATACCGGTTACGCTCTACATTTTGTTTATCTATGGGAGGAAACCGATGCAGGACAGGGGGAGATCATACACCCCTGAAAGGCACCTAAGTCTGGAATCGAAACCAGGCACTTCTTGCTGTGAGGCACGAGTGTTACCACTCTGCTGTCACCCTTCCCTCCCCCGCTCCACCCTGCCTCCCCCGCTCCACCCTGCCTCCCCCGCTCCACCCTGCCTCCCCCGCTCCACCCTGCCTCCCTCGCTCCACCCTTCCTCCCCCGCTCCACCCTTCCTCCCCCGCTCCACCCTTCCTCCCCCGCTCCACCCTGCCTCCCCCGCTCCACCCTTCCTCCCCTTCCTCCCCCGCTCCACCCTTCCTCCCCCGCTCCACCCTGCCTTCCCCGCTCCACCCTTCCTCCCCCGCTCCACCCTTCCTCCCCCGCTCCACCCTGCCTTCCCCGCTCCACCCTTCCTCCCCCGCTCCACCCTCCCCCGCTCCACCCTGCCTCCCCCGCTCCACCCTTCCTGCCCCGCTCCACCCTGCCTCCCCCGTTCCACCCTTCCTCCCCCGCTCCACCCTTCCTCCCCCGCTCCACCCTCCCCCGCTCCACCCTGCCTCCCCCGCTCCACCCTTCCTGCCCCGCTCCACCCTGCCTCCCTCGCTCCACCCTTCCTCCCCCGCTCCACCCTTCCTCCCCCGCTTCACCCTGCCTTCCCCGCTCCACCCTTCCCTCCCCCGCTCCACCCTGCCTTCCCCGCTCCACCCTTCCTCCCCCGCTCCACCCTGCCTCCCCCGTTCCACCCTGCCTCCCCCGCTCCACCCTGCCGCCCAGCATGACGGAGGCCCCAGTGCGCGCGATGGGGACGGCACCACAGAGCGTGCACACCTGTACGAAGACGGTGAAGAGGATGACGATGATGGTGGCTGTGATGAGGAGCTGCTTCTTGGGGAAGTCAGCGGGCAGGAGGTAGACGAGCGAGAAGCAGATGGCGCCGCGCAGGCCGCCGTACGCGATGATGAACTGGTCCTTGGCCGTCAACGACACCAGGCGGTAGCGGTTGATGATGAAGGTGAGCACCACCACGCCTGGGCACATGGCGGCCGCGTCGCCCATCGTCAACGCCCCCGTGACGTCGAACCCGCGACGAGGGGCCACGTGAGCGGGACAGACGCCCCCCGCCTCCACCCCCCTCGCTCCGTACGATGACGTCTACATCCCTGCCCCCCCCCCGTGTGGTCCTCCCTTGGACTCGTTCCGATGTCGCCCGCTCGAGCGTTTGTAATGTGGCCCCGGCGCCACGTTCGCCCAGTGTTTACCCAGTGTTCACCCCGCGTTCACCCAGCATTCACCTAGCGTTCACCTTGCGTTATCCTCGCATTATCTTCGCATCCGTGGTGTTTGACGGCGCGGTTCTACTTATGGGCAGATTCATGCCGTGACCTCGGCACTCTGGCCTCTCACTGGGTTTATTTGAAATCTCCTCCATAATTACAAAGCCAGGGCCACCGATTAAAGAATAATATCATTAGACCTCCTTCGCCAGTACCAAAATGTAAAAATAGGGTTTTTCCCCTTTTTTCTGGCAACAAAACTGAAACCTTTTTTACAAGGATTCATGTCTGCATTAACCACAACACCTGCAGTCAAAATGCAAACAAAAAACATACTATGATAATATATGCATTGTCCTTGAAACTGATTGGTCCACACCAAGGGACGGCTTTCTTTTGAGCCTCGACCCAATTGGTGCTCGACCAGATGACGCCAAAAGCCGTCCCTTGGTGTGGACCAATCAGTTTCAAGGACAATGCATATATTATCATAGTATGTTTTTTGTTTGCATTTTGACTGCAGGTGTTGTGGTTAATGCAGACACGAATCCTTGTAAAAAGGTTTCAGTTTTGTTGCCAGAAAAAAGGGGAAAAACCCTATTATTACATTTTGGTACTGGCAAAGGAGGTCTAATGATGTAGATGCTCACCCCGAGCCCTCATTACTTTGATAGTGCATTGTCCTTGAGCTGTCCGCCTTTTGGCGTCATCTGGTCGAGCACCAATTGGGTTGAGGCTCAAAAGAAAGCCGTCCCTTGGTGTGGACCAATCAGTTTCAAGGACAATGCATATATTATCATAGTATGTTTTTTGTTTGCATTTTGACTGCAGGTGTTGTGGTTAATGCAGACATGAATCCTTGTCAAAAGGTTTCAGTTTTGTTGCCAGAAAAAAAGGGGAAAAACCCTATTATTAAAGAATAATAGTTACACTGTATATATTTGTGTGTGTGTGTCGCAAAACGGGGGTGGGGGGGGGGGGTTGGGGACGACACCTAGGAACTGGTTCACAGAGCGCTCGTTGCAAGAGTAACGGTACAGTGTGCCAACCAATAAACCAAATATGTAAATAACAACACCCCCTTCCTGCCACCCCCCAAGTTAAATTGCCATGCGCAAAATCACGATCGGACCGTCGTTGAGCACTTAAGCACCACGTGACAATTTATTTTGATTGGCCACATCGGGTAGTGGAGTGTCCTGACGACACTAACTGAGTCAGAACGTTACGCGGCCCAACCCACGGTGGATCATCTCGAGCCGAACGGGGCTGGCGGCAATTACAGGAACGTGCATTGCAGAATGAATTCGCGAGTTCTGCTTTTCCAGTCAGGCTGGCAGAGGTGTATTAAAGTCTCCTGTGCTCGGTGCGGATAATGAATTTGTCCAGATAGTGAGACGACGTTTGAGTTGTTGAATCGCAAACGTTGCACGTGCGGTTCAAGCAACGCCGCTTCGAATCAACGGTACACGCTCCTCAGCGGCAGTGACGGGGGGAGCCAGGGAGAACGACGTCGACTGAGGTGAGATTGCCAGTTTTTTTTGCGGAGGGTTTGTGCTCGCTAAAAAGGAATGGCCACAAGGTTCCACCGCGTGCGGTGAAACATGGACCGGCGGTGCCGGAAGCCACGTGGGAGTTTAAATCGCTTGCTTTCTTTCTTTCCCACCAATCAGTGCTGGGCAGTGCGTCAGGCCAGCCTGGCACGGCTCTGGGAGCACCGTGCATTGCTTTTCGACTGCAGAAGTGAAGCCGTGCCACCGACATGCGACGTGTGACTAACGAGTCAACACGCGGGGTAGATGATGCACGACGGTGTAACAGTCCACGGTGGACAACAATCGACCGTTACAGATTGAACAGTACTGGGGTAACGGGAGCTTTAACGCGGCCAGAATCTCCAACAAATCGATCAAATCATGGAGACGCACATTCACAGACAGGGCCCCAAATGCTGGCAATTGGTTCTAATGCCCGACACCGACGAGTCCCACGAGCGCGGCTACGTAGCGTCGAATGCAGCGGTGGGGTGGAGGGAGTTGCGTCGCCGGTTTCGGCCAGACGGAGAACGTGAAACAACGATCCGGGTGTCACCGTGAGGCCAGAGAATCGTCGCGGGTTCGGTTCTGGTGCAGCTCGGGAAATCAACGGCAGGAGGAAGGAAGGGGAAAGAAAGAAAAAAACGGGCACAGCACGAGGGCCGGAGGAGGGGTGCGGCGTGACCGTTGACTCCAGCAGCCTTACCGAGGGCCCTCCACACGAGGCAGGCCACCAGCGTGAGAGAGAGGAAGGCCCAGTTGAACTCGAGGCTCCCGTTCACCGTGGCCACGCCCAGGAATATGAAGATGAGCGTTTCGCTCACACTGCTCAGCATCTTCATGAAGTACTTGATGGTGGTGTGCGACTTCTGCGACACATTCGCCTCCACGTACTGCTTCATGCTCATGGCGCACGCCACCATCCTGCGTGGCAGGGAGAGGAGGGGGGGAGAGGGGGGGGGGGGCACGTGCGGAGCGTTGGGTCAAAAGGGGCATCGCATGAAGCAGGGCGACGTGTCGCACGGAGCATCACATGGAGCGTCGTGATGCCCACTGGCACACAGCGGCCTCCTTGTTGAGCCGCGTCACCCTCCAAATGTTTCAAATTACTCAACCGGGATAACACGCAGCTATACAGAGCTACAGGCAGCTTCAAAGGAGCAACATCGCCCCCTGCTGTGAAACTATTGCAGCCTACGCGTGTGAGACGCGGCAGCGCCGTCCTGCGTGGTGAGAGCCTTGCGCTATGAGAAGGATTGCGCCAGTGCCATGCACACGGCTAAATCGCTCTCAGAGAGGTGATTCTGCGTGCGCAGCCGAGCCAGAAGCCGCAGGGTCTGGGCAGCAGAGCTAAATGGGCACAGCGAGGTCACCGTCAGCCATGGCCTATCAACTGCTGGACGGTCTCCCCACGTAACCGCCATTCTTAACAGATCCTGCGATGCCACGGATCGCGCGTCACCGGCTCCTGCACGGGGACCGACCCCCGTCGCTCCGTCTCCGCGGTGGCAGTCGTGCTCTGCGCGATGACCCCTCTGCCGGAGTGGTGGCACACCGGCGCTCGGCCACCCGGGGAACGCCTCGGAGCCATCCTCCACGAAGTCCGATCGGGGATTTTACAAGTGAGAGAGCGAGCGTCTTCGTTAACCCAGCCCCATTAGCAGTGCAGCGCGAGCGTCGTCAAGTTATACGCGGTTGCGCCTTTTACAGCGGCATGCGGCTGCTTCATCGATTGGGAAAATAACTCTTGTGCAGGAGGATCAATGAATTGAGAAGAACACCTTTGAAGAGAGGCTTGTGTGTGTAGCTTCACAGGCAACTCGGGAAGGACAAGTTAACCCATGGACATCTGTGTTATGGGCTTCCAGAGAGGACACACGCAGCCAAACAACAGCATCAGCAGCAGCAAAGAGCTACTGCCACCGGTCACTTACATTGGCGATGGCATCATAACAGTCCCTGTCATCAGGCTCGATGCACTTCAAAGGCACATGGAATGGGTTGAGTCACAAAATCAATAAGCGGACAAGACGCCTTCCTTCCCATCCACATTCATCTGTCCAAGCAATACATAAATAAATAAGTGTTTTTGCATCCCACCAGTCGCACGACCCTCTGACAGCGAATTATTTCTTTCAGCAACAATGGTTCAACCCAAGCAAACAAGCTTCACTTTTTTTCTTTGAATCGTTATATCGAGAGACAGATAGCGGGAAGGCAGGCATGACGACCGCTCTATGGTGGCGCCGCCGACCGTCACCTCTTGGAACCGTTGGGAGGCTCACCGAGCGGAGGTAACTGGGAAGACGCAGGCATCGCTATGGAAACACGTGCCGCCACGCAACGCTCGCCCGCAGACCGACGCGGCTCGCCGGCAAAACCGTGGCCTGCTGAAGCCGCCCGGCGGAGCGGAAGTCGACGCTCGTGCCTCACGGCAAAGAGGGCTTGGGTTCGATTTCCCGACTCGGGTGCCTTTCTGCGTGGAGTTTGTCCAATCTCTCTCCCCCCGTTCAATGTGGGCTTCCAGGTTTCTTCCCATAGCTAAAAGAGACGTTATGGAACTGGTGTTGGCCAAACATCCCAATGCAAGAAAAACATTTAAACATCCAGCGGTAACATTGCCCCCTGACTGCAAAAAACCTGACAGGGCCGTCCAGTAGGAGAGGCTTCAGACTCCTGCAGGTAAACACGGAGAATGATAATAATCAAAATAAGAGCTGAGAGCCGCTTAAGGGGCGTCACGGTGGCTAGATGTTAACTACCTTGCCTGGTATGCAGAGGTTGGGGGTTCGACCCTGACGCCTGCATATTTGGATTTTGCATATCCTCCCCGTGGTCACGTGGATTTTTTCTCCGGGTCTTCCAGTTTTTAATTGATATTATTTATATTATTTTGGTGCTATAAATGTCCAAATGATACGCCACTTTATTGAGCTATCCTTTGTGGCCAGGTTGTTTAAAAGGATTGGGATGTTTCGTGTTGTATTTGTTAGTGCTTGGGTGCTTTGTTTACCTCTCTTGTACTTTGCACACCAAATCACGTGTTGTTGTGTTGTTTGTTGTTGTAACGTTCTTACCCCGTGCCTCGACTAAACATCTGTGAAAAAGAGCTTGATATCTCATAGGATTCCTCCAGCATGAATACATATTCTGATTATGTATGTTGAACTTCTTTCTTACCGTACGTAGCCAACCGCGCTAATCAGAGGTGCGGGATGATGCACAGCATGACACAAGCGCAGCCTCTCACATTCTCCAGCGTCCTAAAGTGTCAGAGCGAGTGACACAAGAGGTCCAATTAATCGACGTTTGAAACCCACTATGGCTGGGGACGCTCGGTTGTTGTTCGGACACACCGCCGGAGACGGTAAGTGAAGTGAAAATTTCAACTTGCGCTCGGCCGACTAATAGATCGCCACAAATGCGCCCAATCCCAATTCCGCCCTCAGGTGCTAAGCAGGGCTGTGTTTGGTTAATCCCTGGGTGGGAGGCTGCCAGAGAACTCTAGGTGCTCTCGGCTGGCATTGTAAGCTGGCCACAGGATGACAGGAACAGCAAAGCAACGGTGACTCAATCTACGGCGGAGCCTTGAGGGTTTAGCCCCCGTGTAGGCGCGTGCATTCTCCAGATTTTATTACCATGCTCTTCTAAACCTGGACGGGAGGCCTTCATCCGGCAGCGGACTGATTGTGGCCGATAATGACTATGAACACGGCCAGCATGCTCTTCAGAAGCTCGCATTCGCACCGGCGTAGTAAGCTATCAGGCTGTTCGCACCGCGGCCACCGTTCCCGGTTTGCTCGCGGCGTGGGGGGGGGGGGGGGGCGTGGGATGCCATGGATTGCCACGATCTGTCGAGATTCAATTCAGGATCAGAATCCTTGTTTATCCTGGAGAAATCCGATGAGCTATGCAGCTCTTATTTGTTTATGGATGTTCAGTAGGGGGCGGGTCAGAAAGTTACAACAACAACCAATACAAACAAAATGATCGGAGTGCAAAGTAAGGGAAAAGCAAGCAAGTCACATGCATGTAAATAAATAATCCACCTCCCACCAGGTGGTGCATGAGGCAGGACAGCAAGTAGGCGTGTGACGTACTTGTATTGATTGTGGGGCATCGTTCCATTTACAATTCCTTTGGGCCTTACCCCCCACATTTTTATATTCCAAAAATCGATGCTCTTAGCATAGCGTCTCGGGGAGCTGAAGAATCGATTTGGGAATTTCATTGGGCAGTGCATCCCGTGTGGCCTTCAGGGTTGGCACCTAGTCAGACCAGTGGAGGAGGAAGGGGGGAGGAGGAAGGAGGAGTGATGGAGGAGGCTGTAGTAGTGATTTTTCCACTGGACTTCTTTAAATACTTCTAAGGAGCCTCCTTATCCTGAACAAAACCAGGCAGCGCGTTCCCTACACTGCTAGGAGGTCGGCCCTGCTGGGATGTGATGAGTTCAGTCGACCCCTGGCTGGGATTTGGTACCACGGTGGCGAGATGTTAACTACCTTGCCTGGTATACAGGAGGTCGTGGGTTTGATCCCGATCCTGACGCCTGTTGTATATGTAGAGTTTGCGTGTTCTCTCTCCCTGTGGTCGTGTGGATCTTTTTCCGGGTCTTCTGGTTTTTCCCTCCATATTTAGAATCAACATCACGCATTTAGAGTATTCAACCACGATACATTTCCACACAATAAGTAACTTCGTTGAGCTATCATTTGTGGACAGGTCGCTTCTGAAAAAGAGCTCAGTGGGCCTTACCTGGTAAAATAAAAAGTTTAGTTCAGTTAATTTGTTGTGTGACAGCCGATCCAAAATGTTTGGGTTTTTAAATCCTAGAGCTATAATTTTTGCCAAATTAAATGTTGAACGAAATTTGTATGGGACGCTTTTTTCCATGCAGTACTTGCCGATTCGGCAGAGATCATCAACCGGCTGCTGCAGCGCTGGATAACCCGGTCTAAACCGCGAATGGTCTGAACCTGGACTTGAACCCAGGATCCTGGCGGTTCCGGCTCCATGCTCTGACCTCTGAGGCACCTGTGGCCACGTCACCGCTTGCCCCCACACTCGACTCCTATCCCCTGTGTCCCCGCAGCCCCTCTCTATGCACAGCGGTTTTCGTGCCATCTGCACACTTTCATCATCAACAGCAGTAGCAGCCGATACCCTATGAAGGGTTGTTTGTAGATAAGATATCGAACGTTCCCTCAATGAGATACGAGCGTTACACGAATGGGGCTGGAATTGAAAATGACAATTAAAAAACCCAACCCCGCAAGCGTAAACACACGACCACCTCTTCACGCTCGCTCAGCAATTCTTAAAACGCCACGGGCGCCGGTGTTTATGGCAAAACACCGGCAAACAAACCCTCGGCCATCATCCCAACCGCGCTGGCACTGGTGCTGGTGCTGCTGCCCAGCGCCGGGACAGATAGGCGCCCCCGCTCGCGGCCCGGAGCTGCGGCCCAACTAGCGGCTGTTTGCGAAGCAGCACCGGAGCCTGCCGCCCCCCCCACCCCCGAAGTGGATCTCGACAGCGAGCGGCGACGCAGAAAGAGTGAGCGCAGCTTGCACCCCACCCGGCGTGAAGGTGGTGAGGTCAGTTACACAAAGACAAATATCCCCCCCACCCCCTCGTATAGCCTTAACATACAAAGGGGGTGGGTGGCCAGCACCATGACCGGCCTCCTTTGTCTCCCCAGTGGCGATGTTTATACACTGCACCAGGTACGCATTTGAGGCTGGGTCGACCTCGGGTTTAGATAATCGCCACTGGTATTGGCCGCAAGCGGGAATCAAACTCGGATCGCCGGGTTCATAGCGCAACACACTAACCACTACATTACCACTCCCTTTAAACACACATACACACGCACAGACTGTTTACACACACGCAACAGAGACAAACACACCACGTAGCCACGTGTGTGCGTGTGGGGGCACTCACGCCATGATGCCGGACAGCTGGAACATCTCGGCGATGAGGTAGGCGAGGTAGCTGTAGAGGAAGACGAAGAGGGGCTCGATGACGCGAGTGTGGTCACTGAAGCGCGTGGTAAGGGCGGCCACCATGCCCAGCAGCGCGCCAATGAGCACCCCGCCCAGACCCACCACCAGAAACTTGGTGGCGCCGAGCAGCACGTCCACGGAGGTGACGACCTTCATCGTGGAGAAGGCCCGGAACAGGTTGTATAGCACCTGGCGTGAGGAAACGCGGTGGGACGCGGCATCACGAGCCGTGCGGAGACACGCGGAGCCACGCGGTGCCACGCGGAGCCACGCGGAGTCACGCGGAGCCACGCGGTGCCACGCAGTGCCACGCGGAGCCACGCGGTGCCACGCGGTGCCACGCGGAGCCACGCGGAGCCACGCGGAGCCACGCATTGCCGCAGGCACGGACGATGCTCTCGTGAAATCCGGCGGCCGGCGAGCACAGCGTGATGCGAAACGTTGGAAGAGAAAACGTAGAAAGATTCCCTTTCAAAACATTTCCAAAACGTAATTCTCATCGTTCACTTTGCCTCTCTGGCCATGAAGAAGGGCCATTGCCTGAAACGTTGCCGATTATATATTTTTCTTTTGAGTCTACAGTGCTCTTGACGTGTTAAATCATGTGTGCTTGGGCACCACTGCCAACGCAGCAGCGGTAACCAATATCAGATTATTTCGTGATGGCTACACGACGGAAATTCGGGTGTCCTCGTGAGACAGCGAGGCCGTGGGCATGGCTTCGGTTGCTAGGCATAACGTCATCACTCCCACGACTCCAGCCAATCAGCTGCAAGAGCGATTGGAGCTGCTGAGGTTGCTGCTGTAATTACTGCTGCTGCTTTTACTCTTACTGCTACTGCTGTTGTTACTGCTGCTGCTTTGACTGCTGCGACTGTTGCTGCTGTTACTGCTACTGTTGCTGTTACTGCTGCTGCTGCTTTGACTGCTGGGACTGCTGCTGCTGCAGTTACTGCTGTTCTCACTGCTACTGCTGTTGCTGCTGTTACTGCGACTGTCACTGCTGCTGTTACTGCTGCTGTTAGTGCTGCTTTTACTCTTACTGCTACTGTTGCTGTTACTGCTGCTGCTTTGACTGCTGCGATTGCTGCTGCTGCTGCTGTTACTGCTGTTCTCACTGCTACTGTTGTTGCTGCTGTTACTGCGACTGTTACTGCTGCTGTTACTGCTGCTGTTAGTGCTGCTGATGCTGCTGCTGTTACTGCTGCTGTTACTGCTACTGCTGTTGCTGCTGTTACTGCGACTGTTACTGCTGCTGTTACTGCTGCTGTTAGTGCTGCTGCTCTTACTGCTACTGATGCTACTGCTGTTACTGCTGCTGCTGTTACTGCTGCTGCTGTTACTGCTGCTGCTGTTACTGCTGCTCTTACTGCTACTGCTGTTGCTGCTATTACTGCTGCTGTTACTGCGACTGTTACTGCTGCTGTTACTGCTGCTGTTAGTGCTGCCGCTGTTACTGCTGCTGTTGCTGCTGCTGCTTTGACTGCTGCTGTTGCTGCTGCTGCTTTGACTGCTGCTGTTAGTGCTGCTGCTGTTACTGCTGCTCTTACTGCTGTTGCTGCTGTTACTGCGACTGTTACTGCTGCTGGTACTGCTGCTGTTACTGCTGCTGTTAGTGCTGCTGCTGTTACTGCTGCTGCTGTTACTGCTGCTTTCGCCTCAAGGTCCTCAGGGCGAGTGAGGAGGTCGAGAAGCAGCACCGTCACGCAGATAAACCGCCGGCGTCTTCCCCCTAGACATCGGCAAAGGGACCGCGCGCTGGCAGCGGTGCACAAATTAAAGACGAAACTCGCCATCACGCTGGTCGCCTAACGCTGCCATCTCACTGCTGGTCACCGATGGGCAAGACTTTGGCGATGGAATGGCCGGCGAAGGGGAGAATGCCACGACCACCATGGAGATAGAGATGCGAGGTCGGCTTGGTTGCCGGGAGGGAGAGACGCAGGGAGAGAGAGAAACGGATTGTGGTGTTGCAGGACCGCGAGAGGGATTGTGGATTCACCACCCATTCCATACCCCATGGACATCCCTGCCATCGCACAAAACCAACCGCAGAGGTCGCGCAGCTGCGGAAGATAATTCCCTGGTTGACTCCAGGTCATGGGTTACGCAACCTGGAGTCCTGCAGCTGTGCCTCGTGAAATGTGCACCGTGTGGCTCACCAGCAATGACACTATAACGCGAGATGTACGATTCATGGTTCTCGTGCTAACCTGGGGCAACTACCCGGCCAGGACGGCGTCGGCATCCACGGCCGCAAGGTGGACTCTGAGTGGTCGTGGGGCGTGAGCGCTCGCGTGGAGTGGACACGACGGGCCCCCTCACACCGTCGTCATTATTCTCAAGAGCAGGCCACGAATGTAGAGATTAAAAACGACGAAAGCGAGAGCTGGCCAGGTGCTCCAAGCACTCAAAGAGCGCTGGGGCGGCATCACTGAGGACGCTGCGTTCGTAGCAGGTCACAATGAAATCCGCGCCCCCTCTTTTGCAGCGGCGAGCCGATGGCCTCAGCCTGGCCATGCGACGAGTCTCTCGTCACCGCCGCGGCGTCAATGATAAAATAGAAATATATATAAACGTTAAAAGCCGTGTCTATTACCGTGCGCCCTGAACGATGCAGAGGCGGTGCACTTTAAATACCGCGGCGAGCCAGACGGACGGACGTGGTGGTGCCTTGTGACTGCAAAGCCAAGGGAGATAATGACGACAAATATAACCCCAATGGCCCTAAATATAACCCTAACAGCCCTACATATAACCCTAACCCAGGTCCACGTGCAGCCCACGGGTGACCTCTCTGGCATGGAAGCAGCCTCTCTCTATGGGTGCACACACACAGTGGCCAAGGTTTGATGGTCATACACCATCGCTTGATTCAAAACTAGCAGACTGCACTCAGTCAAGCAGTAAATGCTCAACTACCAGTTATTACTGCGTGGGGCTCATTTCACCAGCCTCAGATTTGAGATGATGATAATGATGATTTCATAATGATGACAATGATTGTGATGATGACAATGAGTGTGATGATGCATTGAGTATGAAGCCTGTAACCCACATTCACATCGATGCAAGCAATTCCAAAAATAGAATTAATCGAAAACCTGTTGCAAATATTCTATCCAGGATATATTATCTGTTTAAAATAAATAAATATCGTTCCATTAACCACAACCCCCCACTGGGCCGCACTGCCGCGTCACAACGCCATGCCGCGTCACAACACCACGCCGCGTCACAACACCACGCCGCGTCACAACACCACGCCACGTCACAACACCACGCCACGTCACAACACCACGCCGCGTCACAACACCACGCCGCGTCACCACATTTGGTATTCGTCACAACGGCATTCCAGCCGCCTGTCTTGACGGGCGATGATTCAAGGAGCTGCACAAAAGCGCTCTGCGACAGAATTTGGGGAACGCGCCGGCGGTCGCCAGCGGAAAACCCCACCCGCGGGGGGCGGGGGACTCACGGAATATTGTCGACAGGACCTCGTGCTGTGGTTTGGCGTTTGTGTGGACTAAACATTTGCCGCGTGGACGAAAGTCTCAGTTTGCACGACAACATGTGATTGTTCCCCGTTGATTTTGTTTGTGCGAACTCTCGAGAGGACCGGGACAGGAGTCTCCACTTGTACGAGCGATAACCCAGGGGGGGGGGGGGGGGGCGGGGGAGAGCACGCCCACACCTCTCCCGGTTGCTGTGGCGCCGCGTGCATGCTTTTCACATTCCCTGCCCGCGGGTTGTGTCGTGTGTGTCAACGTAAACCTCGCTCCGACCCGAAGCTCATTTAACTCCTACGCTCGTTTACCCGGGGGAGGCGTGTCAGTCGCGCCAAGCTTGTCTAGTTTGCGTTTGAACGTAATCCGAATCCCCCCGGCGACCCCGGGACGGTTACCAATCAGGACGTTACCAACCGCCCCCCGGTGGCCTCCTCACGGCCACCACCAGAGCAGGGACAGGAATGGGGCGCGACCGGACCGAAGCGGCCGCTGCGCCTGCCAACATCCCCTCAGCGGGGCAGAAACCTCAACGGCGACGAGGGAGCTCCGACACGAATCACGAACACGAGCGAAGCTCGTGACTGCAGGGCAGCTGGAGACCCGAGATAAAACGCATCCACTCTGAGAGAAGGGATGAGAGTTCTAGGCTCTTTAAACGACGCCGAACCGCGCGTTTACTGCCAAAGCGCGACGTCGCTACGGAGTCGACGATTCCTCTCTCCTCTTTAATCCCCAAGAGCCGCGGCAGCTCCCCGTCTCATCCCCCAGCACCCTCTACGCATCGCATTCCCCTTTGAGGGCGAGGACGATAAAGACTTTAACTCTCTACCCAAACTGCCCCACTCTGTTATATACACCCGCGCTGCTGCGCCGCGTTATGGAAATTATTTAAAAAACGTTCCCCGCTTCACCCGAAAGGGGTATCATTCAATTTAATAAACGCGCGCGCACACACGCTTGAAATTTAAGGTTGTAAAATCGCAACGGGCTCTCGCCCAAACAGCACGCTCAATCGAATGCGGTAATGGACGTTAATTAAATCGCTCAGACCCACTCGTGCGGCACAACCGCCGGCAACGGAGGAGATGCAGTCCAACGAAGCGAGAAGCAGAGAGAGGCGGTAGTGGCGGCGAGCATTTGGCTGATGGGAACACGGGGACACGTGTGCGGTTTAAGCGGCCTGGGCGAGAGTGTGCACCGCCTCCAACGCGTAAAGACCTCCGGGGGGACGGCCAATTCCGATTGGCCTTTCCCCTCATGGCATTTGTAACCACTACAGTGGCCAAATGGGGGCTCTGGACAGGTGCGGGGGGCTGGTAACCCCTCCACCTTCAATTAATTACCACTAAACCACGACGACAACATTTAATAAATAAGCTTGTGCCGGAGGCCCCGGGGGGACTGGCGTCTATGACGTCTCCTGGCCAAACCCCACTTGGTGGAGCCAGGAGACTGAATCTTTACCCTCGGGGCTCCTCCAGAAACAACAAAAAACCACTACGTGTGGCCATGTGGAATGTTCGAACGCTCACTGCGGAGGAGAGGCTGCCACTCCTCTGTCGGGAGCTGGGCCGGTACCGGCTAGATCTTTGTGGTATTCAGGAAGTCCGGTGGACTGGCTCTGGCTCCTGCCACCATGAGGGGTGGACAGTCCTCTACTCGGGGCAGGAGACACAA